GGGGTGGGGGGGTAAAGGGAAGAAAATTACTTCTATAGCGAATAGAGTTGATTAAGGAATGCCATTTCTTTTTGTAGAGAAGCTTATGCAAGTAAAAGATAATGTTTGGCAGTTGAACTGTTCTCTTCTTTCATTTTTTGATATTTCAATTTTATATACATTTGGGCATGGTAAAATAAAATTTATATTTTACTTTTTGAAGTACGATTGAAAGAGCAAAAAAGGGAATAGAAAAAGAAGAAGAAGAAGAAGAAGAAGGGGAAAGAAAGGAGTGAACACAAAAGTATAATGGTGAATAATTTTTGCTTTCTTGTTTTGGTTGTATTTTTGTCATTGATGTTGGAACAGAAACAAAAAAACAAAAAACAAAAACAAAAAACAACAATACAGAAAATAAACAATGAAATAGTGAACAAAAAAAAATTTTTTCTTATATTATACGGTTTTTGAACTGAAACTTAATTTTGTTGATACCAATTAAAAAAAAGAAGCTATAGCTTTGATCATTGTGATCAGTTTTCTTCTTCTTTTTTTTTTTGGCTATTTTTATTTTAACGTTTCGAAAAAAAAACACCACAATTTCTAAAACGGATGAAGGAAAATAAATGTTTAAAGAAAAATTGTTTCTTGAAATGTTTTCTGTTGCCATCAAAAAACAATTTTTTACAATGGTATTTAGTCAATTGATTTCGTTTTCCTCTGAACCATCAAAATTATCTGTGTGTAAATGAAATTGGCAGACCAAAACTGAACCGTGTGAATTGTTAACTGTTATTTATACTGTTTGTCGTTGTTTTGTTATTCTGTCTGAATTATCCAATTAACCCCGTAAACTATGGTTAAATTGAATCTCCTTTTTTTTGCAGTTATTTTTGAAAAAAAAAAAAGGAAGTATAAAACATTTGATACAGTTGGCGTCATCAATGATCTTCTAGAATATATTTGTTTCCTAAAGAAAGTTTTGTAAAATCTGAGCCTGAGCCCAAATTTCATTGAAAAAAGTATAAACTTGGCTTAAATATTCAACAGTTTTGCTACTTTATTTTATTTACTAAAGTTATCTAAGATTTTTGTACATAATTTATTTACTGACTGAATTTAAATACAGCAATTGACTACTGTTAACAGCCTCAGATAAATGATAGGTGTAAGTTTTAGGAAACATTTATGATTATCACTTTTTGTCTTTGCTTTTTTTTACTTTTTTTGCTGCAATTATTCCTTTCTGTTAATTAAAACCAAATAATTGACCTGCTTACTATGTTTATTGATGGACATCTGATTGTACATTTTACATTGTTACAGTTTTCAGTAACTGATTTCAGCTGGGCTCATATTTTATTCCTATATCAATGTCTGTTTGTTGAGAAGTCCATAAATGAACTTTTTGGGAAAGAACAATCTTTTTTTTTTTTTATTTCTCTGTACATAAGTTAAGGGACATTTTTTGTAAGAGTACGGAAATTGATCAGTTTTTAAATTTACAGAAAAAAAGTATCTTTAAACTAAAAAGAATTTTTTTTAGCACCATTTAGTTTTTTACGATTGCAGTTCTGTTTTAATTGCTTACAACTTACACACCATTCAGCATACTTTTGTCATACAAATCTACATTTCTTTTTTTGCTGTTGCTGTACTAAAACAAAAAGCATTTAAAAGCTGTTTCAATAGCATTAGAAATTTTAACCATTTTAAAGTTTTATTTGCTGGGACAGTTTGTTAAAAAATTTTTTTGCGACTGACAACAAGAATATTTCTTTGGAAAAAATTTTTCTAAGGTTACCAGTGTCATTAATGTTCGTTAAGATCTTCGCTGATGATTAGTAACTCAAACAGCTTTTAGGTTTCTGTTAACTGTTTTTGTGTTTGACATCATCACAGACAAATAGTTCAAATAATTCCTTGTTGAACATTTTATACTTATAATTATTCTTCAACAATTTAAATCTGTCAATTATTCTTCTCAGTTGTACATAAGTTTAGATCAGTTCTAATTTCATATACTAAGACTGTATGAGGGGGGTATTTAGAAAGATGAACAAGGGAATTTGTTGCAAAGATCTAAAATATGACGTTTGAGAATAGAAAAATATCAATGTATTATATAAAATTGTTCTTTTCTTTTTTTTTTGTTTGTTTTTTGTTATTGTTATTGAAAGAAATTTTGCATTGAAAACTTTTAAAGAAATATTTCTGCTCTTCTACAACATATTTTTTGTGGCAGATTATTATCTGATCTTTATCAAACTTTTATTAGTCTGATCAGAAAAACAAAAATTAATGATTGAAAAAAATTTTTTTTTGAACAATAGCGGTATTTCTGCTTTTTAATTCATAAGGCAGATATTTTTTTCTATTAGAATAAGTATAATTTTTGACATTTATCTGTTAAATGAATGAAAATAAATTATTTTAATTTTACTGCAACTTATTCTTTATACATTTGTATTATACACTAACAATATTTTTTTGCTTTTTAGACTACAAAATTAAAATATATTTTTGCAATTTTTTATTTTTTTTCTGCATTATATTTTTGCTTTAAAATTTTGTCAACACTTTTTCAGATGCATATATTTTTGACGCTAAATTTGTCAGTGATTTATTTTTAGTCTTTCAGCCATATCAGAAACCAGCAAAAAAAAAAACCCAGCAGAGTTTGTGTCATCTGAGTGCCAATATTGTATTCAACTATTTACAACCTACCAAAATAGCATTTTCTGTTGTCACTGTTGCTGCTGCTGCTGTTGCTGCTGTTGCTGCTATCGGTTCTACCGTTGCTGTTGCTAACTAAACGATTGTTGCTGTAGCCGCTGCTGCTGCTGCTGCAGTTTTTATTGCTACTGCTACTGCTGCTGCTGTTGGTGGTGGAATAGAAAATGCTGTTTGTCTACAGTTTATATGGCCTATCTGCACTGTGTGCACTTCTATATTTTTACACCAGGACAAAGGTTGGCAGTTCAGAGGATGCTCAATTTATTAGCTTTCAACGTTCCTACCTGACAGTTTATCTTCTTGCAGCCGGTACATTTTTTGCTTACTTTTTCTTTTCTAGTTATAAGAGAAAAAAATGACGATAATGACGAAGAAACTGTGTGTTAAAAAAAAAAATTAAAACTTTTTTAAAGGATTTTTTCTTTCAAGAAGTAATTAGAATGAAAGAAAAAAAAAGCTTTATGTCAAATTTGTTACTGCAACAAAAAGAAGATGTAAAGTTTGAAAATTGACTGAAGAGATTTGTCAAAGTCGTTTCAACATTAAACTTTTCAATCTATCTCTTTAATCTTTCATTGTTGATCAAAAAATGTTACGTAATGAAACAGTCTGCTGTTAAGTTTAGATTCTAATGACCTGGAAATATTGTTTTTGATATGCATTTCACAAAAAAAAATATATATCTCTAGATAGAACAGCTCTCTGTACATCTGTACAAGATATCTTAGAAAAAACTGCAATTTTGCCATTATTAAATAAAATTCACCTCTGTATACGACGTTTATGGAAACAGATATAGGCTTTAATAATTTTTGGTATTTATTGTTATTGTTTTTAGAAGATGCTACAATTTAGTAATAGTGAAGATTGGTTCTTAGGTAATATAAGTTGTTCGTTTGAAGAACTGTTGAATATTTTGGTTGGTGTGAGGCAAAGAAACGAACAAAACCAATTAATGTTACAAGAATTAGATCTGCTATATATTTAGATTAATCTTCTAGATTATATATTTTTTCTTTTTCAATTATGATTATTATCTTCAAATAGTTTAATAAAATTAATACAAACAACAGTATTGTGTATCTTTAGAGTTTATCTGCCAAAAATGACTGAGAATTGTAAACAATTGAAATGAACTCTTCACCTGTTAACAGTTTCTTCTCCATTTTGTATAACAAAAATCAATTAATTGTTAAAAAAAAATTTACAGTTAAGTAAATTTTAGTTTTTGATAAAAATTTTTTCTCTTTTTATTTCAATGTCAACATTGAACTATTTGTTGTTTTTCTTCAATTCATAATTGATTTTAGTAAATGCAGGCAGTAATTGTCAAAAAATAACCTTTGTAATTTTGGGCAAATAAACATTTTTCTTTACACATGAAAAATTTTGGTCAGAAATAATTGGAAGACATAAAAAGCATTTAAAAATAATAGTTATAAGAGAGAAAAAAATGACGATAATGACGAAGAAACTGTGTGTTTAGGAGTAAGTAAATAAAATAAATCAGAAAACTTAAAGTTGAATATACTACATAAAAATTTTACCGGTGACCAATACTCTTTTTCTTTTTTAAATTTATAAATGCTTAGTTTTTTTTTATCGTGACAGATCTGAATTAAAGCATTTGAGTTTAATTTACAGATTTTTTTGGGTTTGTTCAACTCTTGATACGTCATTTACTGTTCGTTTTATGTGTCGGTCTTAACCGATTATTCACTGGCATTTTAAATTTTTTTACAAATAGTGATACCTGCCGTACTGTTTGACTAAAAAATATAACTTTTGAATTTTACTTATTTAAACTGAAAGTTTTTTGTTTTTTTGCTGGAAATATACAGTGATAAAAGTATATGTGCATTTTTATATTATCACTAGAATTTATAACGTTAATTTTTGATTGAATTAATAGTTACCCAGATAAATCCATTTTAAAATTATGTGAAAGCTTTCTAGACGTTCAAAATAGAGGAAAAAGGTTTAGCAGATTAGAACTGAAATTTATTTATTTGCAGTTAACAGCAGCAAGCAGTAAAGTTGATAAAATGTTTTTACAGCTGGTGACTGGTTACAAGGGCCTCACGTTTATGCCTTATATGAGGCATATGGTATGACAAAACATGAGATTGAACTACTGTTTGTTGCCGGTTTTGGTTCAAGCCTTCTCTTCGGAACAGTTGTTGGCTCTATTGCTGATAAATAGTTGTTTTTCTTTTCCTTTTCTTTGAAATTACCATTTATAATCGTTCTAGTCATCAAATTTTTTTGTGTTGAATAAATGATAAACGATTATTAGGACGTCTCTCTGGCACTTGTAGGGTAATCTTTAGCCTAAGTAAAATTTAGGTGAATTTGGAGATTTATAGGTCTGTCTAATTTTAAAATAATTGCTTTTTTTTAGAAACATTGAAAATTTTCTGAATAAGCGATTTACTTTGATACTTTTTTTTCAACTTTGGCTTTCTTAACTGACCTCTTAATCTAGTAGTTTATTCCAACTGCATCGCATTGAGCAATTAGTTTAAATGTTCAATAAACAGTAGACTAACCTGTAGCAAATTAATTTCACTGATTCTCATCTGATATAACAACTGCTGGGATTGTAGTGGTCGTAAAACCAATTGCTTCTTCTACGGTGTTCTCTACGCTGGTGCCTGTATCACAAAGCATTTTGGCAATTTTTGGATTTTGATGATTGGTAGACTTCTAGGCGGAACTGCTACCTCGATCTTATTCAGTGCTTTTGAGTCCTGGTTGGTATACGAGCATAATAAAGTAGGAAGCTTTTTTCAATTTGTAAAGAACTATGAATATATTATATTCTTCACATGCTGAACGCTAAAAGTTTTTGAATCTGTTGGTTTGGTTAGTTTCGTTTTTAGAATAACAAAACTGTAAGCAGTATAAATAATAAGCTGATTGTACTGTTAAATTAATGACGAGCGAAAAACGTGTTTTCTATCTACAAAACAGGAATGAAAATGATTTTCAATATATTTTTTAATAATTTTATGGTTTCCACTTTATGCCAAAACATAACTCCAGCTATTGTTTTTCATTTGAGTGGTAATGTTCAAAATCATTCTTGTTTATTCTGCGGTTACTAGAAATTTATTCTTTTACGATTATACAATGCCATTTGATACCGTTTTAACCTGCAATGATTTTGGAAGTGTTACTTAAATAAAACGATAACCCCCATCAATAATTTAGCGAAACTTTCCTGACCCATTGTTGGCTACAATATTTTCGCACGCAACTCTCGGTAACTCTTTGGTTGCTATTATTTCCGGTGTAGTTGCTCAGCAAGCTGCTAATTATTTTGGATATGTGTAGGTTTTCCCGGTAACATTTTGAGCATTCAGCAAGCGGCATAACGCTTGTCATAAAATGCAAATTTTGCGAAATTTACCACAAGAAAAAGCAGAAATTTTAAGGTTAAGAACACTCTCCTCTTGAAATTGCAGAGCTCCATTTGATGTCTCGCTCTCAGTTCTTGTCGTGATGACTGTAGTTTTGATCTTCACATGGCCTGAGAATTATGGTGACAAAAAAGCCGACGTTATACAGCACTTTGTTGACGCATTCAAAGCTGCCAAAAATGGTACTATTAAAAACTTAAGAGAGTTGCAGAATTATAACCGCAGTCTTTATTGCCAAAGCTAATTTTTTTTTCAGTTTTACTTTTAATGTACATTACTGATTTACCTCATATAAAATGCCGCTTACTGATTCGTCTAAACAATTGGATTTAAAAATGAAGGTTTTTAGACGGTAAAGTGATATGTTTGGGGATCATACAAAGTCTGTTCGAAGGATCAATGTACGTATTTGTATTAGAATGGACGCCAGCTTTAACACTTGCAAGTAGGACAGCCATTCCTCATGGATACATCTTTGCCACATTTATGGTGGCTTGCATGATGGGTTCATCATTGTTTAAAATGCTCAGCAAAACTCACCGGCCAGAATCATTCATGCGGTAAGCATGTGTAGAAACATTTTGTACACTTCAGACTTGTTTGCATTGATATGTATCATACCGCTTCATACCTTATATCGTTTGACCACCTGTCAAAAACGATTGTTTTGCGAAGTTTCGTTGTGAGGGCGAAGTGTAGGCTGATTCTTAACATATATGCGTCCTTTCTATTTGAATTGAGACAAAATCTAACTTCTTGAATTGTTCCGCAGCGCCTGTTTAGTTAATGAGTATATTGCTGCTAGCTCTTATGGTGAACCGCAGTTGATATTACTCATTCTTGATAGTCAAGTGACAGTTTTATAAAATAAACTAGGTTTTATCAGATGAGACCAAGTTATAGGCTATAAGGTTAACAATTTTTGAGGAATTTGCTGACCCTTCTTTATGGGAACAGTAAAGTTCAGTATTTTCTTCACAGATGTTTTAAGTTTCAATAACTCAAATGATTGCATTCGTTTTCGCCCTACTTGAAATGATACCTCAAAGAATATGCAGCAGAGCAAATCATTTTGACCGTTAATTCCCATCTATATAAGTGGCACATTAGGTGATCGACGGAACATGAAAACAGTGCTTTGTCTCATTCACACAGCATGTGTTCTGTTGCTTAACTGAAATAAGATCCAAGTAAGTCAATCGAGTGCTACTGTGGTAACCCTGTTGCACTTCTCAACGGTAACGTTCTCCGCGGTTTGAGGCTTTTTACAGCATCAACATTGTTTATGCGACCTGAAGGACACAAAAAGAATACTTGTCTTTTACTTCGTTGCTTGCTGCCGGCGACAACACATTACGTAGGCTATGACCTGGGCGGATCAGTGAAACTACCGGAACCAGCAGTCGATCTGTTGATCTAAAAAGGTTCTTGCCCCTTCAGCTATGCAGAGTTCGTTCATTGAGTCAAAAAGTCGCTTCGCTTGCAGAAAAGACGTTTTTAACTTCTTCAATGATTTCCTCGGACCGCATCCTTTCTTGAAGCCGCCTGTTTCCTTTAAGAAGCGAATAACGTATGACTAGCTTAATCTTCTATAATTTCTTCTCAGTATTTGGTTAATGGTGCTTTCAAAGGCTAGTTTTTTCTTCCGGATTCTTTGCGATTTTGTCTTTAATCCTTATGGATGCGAAGTTGCGACATTTCAGTGGTCATAGTTACGGTAATATTGTTTCTCTCATTTTTTTACCTGTGTATGCTTGTTATGAACAGTTACAGAAAATTATAGTAGTTTTACCCCTTACGATTTAGGTATTGTCTTGAATTGATTTTTGAAGAGAATTGTTTTTTCAAATTGATTTAAAATTACCTGGACTGTCTGCAAGGTTTAATTTGATTTGGATATATAGGCTGGTTATAACTGAAAAGTTTTAGGTACGTATTGTTCCTCGCATCTTGCTGTCTTGGCGTACCCATATTGATCCCAACTTCAGCACCAGCAGTTTTCGCAGCTTTTGTTATATTTGAAGTATGTGTTGGTATTTTTTGGCCCGCTATGGGCTACATGAGGGGGATCTACATCCCTGAGCAAACCCGTGCAACAATAATGAACTTCTGCCGCGTACCGCTAAATGCAATTGTGATCTCTATTTTGCTGCTCAATCTTCCTATGGAGGTGATCTTCCAGTCTTGTGTAACATTCCTGCTTCTCGCAACGATTGCACAACAGTATCTATTCAGGTAACCTTTTATTTTATTAGAATGAAGCTTCTGAATGACTATTTAGGATGCGTGATGTAAAAATTCTTCCTGTCGCTTCCTCTGCAGGTCTTTAGAATTTTTTGGCACCACCTTCGTGCATGTTTGCTTGTCACTCTGTATGAAATTTCAGATATTTTTTATACAGGTATTTCTTTGGAATTTAGAAAATTAATTAAATTGGAAACTGAAATAACCCCTCGGAATTCCCGAAGGACAGGCAGTGCCTTGAAAGAAACAAGTACTGAGGCAGAACCTTTGGAGGGACCTACGTTATCGCATTACTGTAAATATCAGGTTAATGCTGCGCAAGTTTCACAACTGGATGGACGGAGTTCCTATGTACTTCGCTTACAACTTAAGCCGAGGGATCAGCAGGACTAGCCACGAAGGTGGCAAGATACAGATTTTCAGGGTTTGACATCTGTCAGACTAATTTTTTTCGTCTGTTTTCAAGAATTACCCTCATACGCATACATATCAACTGTTGAACAGATCAAAACGTAAACCTTAAGTCGGGAAGAAATAAAAAACGGCCGAAAGCAACTCCATTGCGTATTTTTTTTCATTGGGATCAATTTTTGATTTAAAGGTCTTTAGATTAAGTCTTTAAACTGGGTTTGAAATTGATCACTGCCACATCTTTTTTTGGTTTCACTGGCTTTGCATGGTGTGATTTGCATGCTTTAAACCTCATGTTTCCCCTTTGTCATTGTTTTTGCTTTTATCAAAAGAAAACAGTAAATAGAGTGTTGTACCGATAGATGGATGTCAAAATCACTATAAAGCAATAAGGAGGAAAAGCTTTTTTTTTTTTTTTTGCAGACGACTGTCAACGAACAAGCAAAATGAAGCTTTAAAAAAAAACTAGTATTCCACGTAGAGCTCTGCAAGGCTCTCTCGACACGGATTTTTGGAGTTTTAGCCCGTGTTTCAACACAGCTGTTGTTTTTAATAAAAGAAGTCGCCTTAGCCGGCACTACAGATCAAATCTTATCAAAGCATCAGCACGTTCTTCTTTTTATTTTTTTGAGAACTGTTATTGCTTTTATTTTTGGTGTCATTTAATAAAATTTCGTTCTTTTTGCTTGCCTTGTTAAATCTGTAATGTGGACAACCTTAATAGCTTGTTAAGAAAGGCAAAAAGTACTCAAAAAATCTTACCGCATTATTCTGACCTTTGTGCTTTTTGGCTACGTTTATCAGCTAAAGTAATGTTTGTACCTTGCTTGGACCAAAAAACGTAGCTTAACGTGCTGGAAGTATTGCACAGGAACAGATTAATTTCAAAGAGTTTTCAAATTACAGGTATGAGTAAAATAGATTACTTTGAAGTGTTTGTTGTGATATTACAATGTGACTGCTTAAACATCATTTGAGCTGCTCATGCGAAGTTTTTTTTGGAGTGGACCGGTAGGTGTTTAAGACCCTCCAAGTTTGATGCTACAAACATTTCAGTCTCTGCGTCGGTGGTGGTCATTTGAGTGACACTGAATCAAAGCCACTCATAGTTCCTGAAGTATAGGCGTGCAATTTAACCAGAGTTCAGTAGCTGAAATATCTGGATAAAAAGGACACTGATATTACTTTATGGTTTTACAATTGTAGTTTTGTTGAGTGTTCTATTCACTTCCTAAAGAAGAAGAACGACCGGGTCTCGCTAATCTGTGATTTCTTTCTGTATGTATCTGTTTGTCATGTCTTATTGTAACCGTGAAGCTCCGTCCAAAAGATGTTACAAAGCCCGGTTTCTACAGCAGCCAAAC